AACACGCTCCACTTCACCAGCTCAGAGTAAAGAGCCCCTGGTTTACCTCTGAACTAGCCGACCTCTGGCACAGGAGGAACCAGCTTTGGGCAACAGCAACACAGACTGGTTCCGACACCCATTGGTTGCAGTTTCATGAGTTACAGAATCACTGTACGGCTTCCATTAAAGCTGCAAAACAAAACTACTATTTATCTCAGATCACCAACAATCTAAATGATCCTAAGAGCTTCTGGAAAACTATTGGTGGCAGATCTCACTCATGTGACCCGTCACCACAATTATTTGTTGACTCTGCCTCTGTGTCAGATGAGTTGCTAAATTGTTTCAACATTTTGTTGCCTCCGGTTCCTTGTTTGATACAGTTTCTAAAGGTACATCACCTCCAGCAACAAGTCAAACCTCAGTAAACCATACCTTCTGTTCTTCACCGTTCTCTGTCAGTGAGGTTACCAAACTGTTCAAAGATCTGGACACTAGAAAACCTGCAGCCCTGATGACCTCCTCCTGACTTCTTCAGTCTAGCTGCACAAATTATAAAAGAACCGGTGTCTTACATTTTACATCTGTCTATACAACGGAATACTGTCCCAGATGTTTGGAAAACAGCTGTTGTGCTGCCATTATTGAAGGAAGGAGACCCCACTGTACTGAACAATTATCCACCAATCTCCAAACTCTGTATTTTAGTTAAGGTTTTATAAAAACTGATAAATACTCAAGTCAAGAAGTATTTGGACACTTAATATTTAATCTTCTCTCCAGTCTGGTTTCAGGAAACAACACAGCACAATGATCGCTTCACTAAAGGTTTTTAATTATGTTGTTGAAGCTTTGGACACTAAGGATTACTGAGCTGCACTTTACTTAGACCTGTCCAAACCTTTGATACCATAGATCATCACATCTTCTGCCACAAGATCTCAAACTTCTCAGATCACACTGTTGGCTCGTTCTCAAACTATCTCTCAGGTCAGAGGCAATGTGTTTGACATAACAGTCTTCATCTAGCTATGTAACAGTCACCAATGGTGTGCCACATGGCTCAGTTTTAGGTCCCACTCTCTTTACAATTTATATAAATAATGTAGGTCTAAATATTCCTGACCCATCCGTGCATCTCTATGCTGATGACACTGTTGTTTATTGCTGAGTTAACACAGTTGCCAAGGTTTTCCAGCTTCTACAGTCTGCATCTGACATCATCCAGTCAGACTTGTTCCACCTCAAACTGGTGCTAAATGCTGACAAAACCAAAGGATGTTGTTTTCTAACAAAGTCTGTGCCAGCAACTCTTCCTCCTCTCATCCATGCATGGTGTTCATATTGAGTTTGTAGATTCTTACAAATACTTGGAAACTTTGGTCGATGCACATCTCTCTTTTAGGGTGCATTCACACCAGCACTGTTTAGTCCACTTTAATCGAACTCTAGCACATTTTCCTAGAAAGTCCGGTTCGTTTAGGGAGGTGTGAAAGCACCATCGAACTCTGTCATGGAACAAAAAGGTGAACTCTGGCCCGGGCTAAAACCTAGGTCTCGGTCCGGTAGAAGCGAACTCCAGCGCGGTTCGAGTGCAGTGTGAATGTAAACAGACCGGGCCCCGCTCCACAGGACAAACAAACACACATTTCTCTTACCTCTTATGGAGCCGTCAGCTGACTTGTGTGAAAAACAATATTCTCCATGGTCTTCTGTCTCATCTTCTGCTCATGCTGAGTCCATTGTTGAAAAATGACAAAATATAACTCCTAAAACTGCTAAAACTTGATGCCACTTCATTTTATTTTTATTTACAGAAGAAGAAGAAGACGTGTCTACAGAGGTTTTTGTGTCGTTTTTTTTCAGTAGTTCTTGGTGCAGCGCCCCCACAGGCGAGCGGGGGAACAGGTTGGTTCAACAGGTTGGTTCAACAGGTTGACTCGACTGCACAGTGCAGTGTGAATGCAAACGCACCAGCTCAAATGTAACAAAAGCTCATGGATATTGGTCCCGAACCGAACTGAGTCTACCGGACTATCTAGTGTGAAAACGACCTTAAACCACATGTTGAAAACCTGATAAAGAAACTGAAATTAAAACGGTGTTTCTTTTACAGAAATAGATTCTGTCCAACTCTGAATGCCAGAAAACACATTGTAACCTCTACCTTCCTACCGACCATTGATTACGGTGACATTATTTACATGAATGTTCCTGCCAGCTGTTTGCAGATGTTGGATGCTGCAGATGTTGGATGCTGCAGGAGTTGGATGCTGCAGATGTTGGATGCTGTCTATCATGGTGCACTAAGATTCATAACTGGTTGTAACTACCGTACCCACCACTGCACCCAGTATTCACTGGTCAGTTGCTCATCATTATCTACACGTAGGCTCTCACACTGGTTCATCTTCATCTTTAAATCCCTCCTTGGTCTGCTGCCTTCTTATATCTCCTCCCACATGTCACGTCGTCAGTGCAGTTACAGCGTGCGCTCTGAGTCCATCATTACCTGCAGTGTTCCCTCAGTGAGGACTGAACTTGGTAAAAAGGCCTTTTCCTCTCAGCTCCTGCACCTGGAACACCTTGAAACAGGAACTTTGGTTTCTTTAAGGGGTTTCAAACGGTTGATAATGTCAACAGAAACATCAAAGCAAATATGTTCTTGTTTTTAGTGTTTCACCCTGTTTTACTGTTTTATACACTATTATTTTAACTACATTTTTACTGTAGTTTATTGTTGTTGTTGTTTACTGTTATTGTTGTCTGTACTTTATATGTTCTGTCTGGAACAGGTCTCTCTTGTAAATGAGTCCTCATGGCTAAATGAGACTAGCCTGTAGAAATAAAGGTTGAATGAATGGGGGGAAAAAATGGCCACAGAAAACGACATGGAAGATTTTAGTGGTGGACCATGGTGTCATGCCAGATTTATGAAACAAAGAGGACAGGACATCATCAGGGAACGAACACCTCAGTCAGCAGCTCCCTGCAGACCACACGAAACACAGTTTCACCGTAACTCAAGCATGGACAGCAGAAATGTCCATCTGAATTGTTTTTACAGCCATGTTAAAAACATTGTTAAAAAAAAAAACCATTTAAAACATTTACCGTACTGGACATAGCCACCTCCTCTGGACAAGATTCAGCTGTTCACCTCCACCTCACAGATAAGGGACACTCTTTTGAGGACAAAAATGTGCACATTTTGGACTGAGAACACAGATGGTTTGAGAAGGGGGGTGAAGGGGGGGGGTGAAGGAAGCAATTTATGTGAAAAGAGAAAAACCATCTCAACAGAGGAGGAGGCCTCAGATTTCCACTTTCAAAAACCTATAATTCAACTTTAAGACTGATTCCCAGCCAGTTTTCACACCTGATGGGAACAGAGGGGCCTCATCTGTGAATTAGAGGAACAAAGACCTTAAGAAACCCCTACTGTTAAGGTGTTGAGGTGTGATTTGTCAATCTACATATGTATGTGTATCTTATCTCAGCCTTCACTTCACCACTTGCTTTCAAAAAGCGTTCAATACAAAAACAACTGGACTTTATTTGTAACAGAAGACGTTTCGCTCCTCATCCGAGGAGCTTTCTCAATTCAAAGAGCAGAGAGTGAGAGATACAGGTTATAAGGCTGAGTGAGATAAGACACACACACATATAAGACACACACACACACATATGTAGATTGGCAGTTCACACCTAAAAACCTAAAACAGTAGGTCTTTGTTCCTCTAATTCACAGACGAGGCCCCTCTGTTCCCATCAAGTGTGAAAAACATTTCAAGGATTTAGATTTGAAATGAAAATAATTATTAAAAACTATAAAAATTGAATGGATTAATTAATAGTCAATCGTCTACCATCAACTACCATCAATAATCTATCATTTATCATCATTACCGTCATCAACCATCATTTACCATCAATCACTATCTACCATCATCATCAATAATCATCTACCATCATCAATAATCATCATCTATCATCTGCCATCATCTACCATCATCAATAATCATCATCTATCATCTACCATCATCAATAATCATCATCTA